CTTCGGTCTCTCTTCGCTTCTTGTCCTTTCACGCCAGCGCCAGTGATCTTGCATTGGGCTCAATCCATCGCTTTAGCGCCAGCAACGGACCCCGCGATAATTGCCTGGCTTCGTCCACCAACTCTGTCCCTCCACTCTGCGTGTTTTGCCCCGCTCCACGAGAAAGCTATTCTATCGCAATCGTCCTCCGCGAAACGAGAACAGACATACTACAACGCTCCATTCACATCTCTAAGCGATTTTGCGATCATGTCTTCCGCAGCTCCCCACGGCAACAATAGTGCTTCCAGCGCCAATGGCGAGGTGGACATCAAGAGTAGGTTCACTTGGCCTACGCGGCTGTTTTCTTGCCATCCTTTGCTGACCCTTTGCGCAGACTTGGGTCACGTCGAAACCCCCAAAGTTCAAGGGACATGGACTGTCGAGAAGGCTCTTGAAATCTCTCCAGACACCGCAGGACCTGCGGACGCCGGCTCACCGCTCCCTTACTTCCATCTGATTGAGCGCCTCAAGACAACCAAGCGTGAGGGTTGGCGCCGTTTCGGCATCGCGAGGTTGGTCCCCCACGTCGCAAATAATCACAAGGTATATAGATGTCGATATTCGCTAATGCAAAGGCCTTGACAGAGGAGAATCCATCGCCGACCACATGTACCGCATGTCCCTTTTATCAATGCTCGCCCCGCCCGCCCTTGCGCCCCGTCTCGATCTCGCGCGATGCATGAAGATGTGCCTGATACACGACATGGCCGAGTCTCTGGTTGGAGACATCACACCCGTCGATGGCGTGGCGAAGCCCGAGAAGAACAGACGTGAGGCGGAGACGATGGACTATATTACCAAGAACCTACTTGGCGGCGTCTACGGCGGTATCCCAGGTGCCGAAATTCGCGAGATCTGGCAAGAGTACGAGGACTCCAAGACCCTCAACAGCCACTACGTACACGATCTAGACAAGATGGAGCTGCTTCTCCAGATGATGGAGTATGAGAAGCGCGGGCAGGGCAAACTTGACTTGGGCGAATTCGCATACGTCGCAACCAAGTTCACGTTGCCCGAGACCAAGGAATGGGCGGACGCCCTGCTCAAGGAGCGCGAGCATTTCTGGGGCACCCAGCAGCACGTCCACGGCGAGGATGGTATCGAAGGCGGTGTCCAGGAAGACCGGCGACAGCAGCAAGATGATTACTACGAGCGCATATGATGCACGCGCCGAATAGATGATTGATGAGCGCCATGCACAGTGGTACCGAACTTGGGCACAGATACGTGGGACTGTGAAACCTGCCAGCGGTGTTGGCCACCCTGAACCTAGGCGCTACTGTGTTGCGAAGGTCAGACTCTGAAATCGCGGAGGGAAAATCGAGTTACGGGTCCTGATACAAGTTGCTTGCATTACATGGTGTTGCATGTAGCATATGATAGATGATACCTGGGGCTTAGAGAAAAGCTAGGTCAACGATGATGATTTTATCAATATGAACTAAGGAGTATGCGCTTCACGCGTGAGGTTCCCGGGTGTGAGTGGTCCCCGATACCGACGGCAGGCGCTGGATCACCGCCCGGTTGTACTGCCCCTCTGTTTACATTCTTGCTGAGCCACGCGCTTGGGCCTCGAGATGATCAGCCACCCCAGCAACCGATGGCGCCTTCCTTCTTTGAGACAGCTAGCTACAAGTATTTTCGCTTAACCAAAAAAGAAGAAAGAAAAAAGAAAGAAAAAAAAGAGGCTGGCTTTTTTTTTTTTTTTTTTTTTTTTTTTTTTTTTTTTACCTTGGGTATTTTTCTGGGGGAAAGGTGCAGTGCAGGGGACCTTGGAGGAGCCGTCGCGAGACCCTGAGAAATATTAATTTTAATGTCAGCTTGACACTGACAGACGTGCTTCACCGGGTGGTGCGGAAAGGCAAAGCGAACGGAACAAATGACACGATGTGCAGCCACTGGCTCACTGTACTCAGTAAAAAACAAGTGCACCTCCATCACCCCCTTGTCCAATATCCTTCCTCGCCAACCTCCCATCCCTCTTCGCCTCGTCTGAGTTTTAGTGTTGACTTTTGATTCAGGGACTTGCGGCGGATACGCATACATCCAGGCCCGTACTCCGTACAATTATTGTGCTGCCGGTGTGCCTTTCCTTCATCGCGTCTTCTTTTCTTTTTACCATCTGCATCGATCGACGTTGATTTTGAGTCCGGTACGGACTATGCGTACCTACCTACAGACGAACCATTCCATTCCCATACAGCACATCTCCAGACTCTCGGTACATATTACCTTAGTATCTTACTTTCCCTTGCGTTCTTCCAAAGGAGCGCATGACAAACTCGACGTCACCCTGAGCGCCGTCACTTTTTCTCAGGGTCTAGACCAACCAACCGACACACGGTCGACATCCAATCAAGACACTCATCATCAACGGCTGTTGCCGGCACTCGAAGCTCTCCCCAACGCCAGGACCGAGCTTGTTGGTTGCCCACAGCTGTTCCTTGCTACTTTCCAGGTCACCCAACCTATTTCGCCCCAGGGACCCCCCCCCCCCCAAGAAATAACTTGACCGCGCCGCTCTTCTCCAACCCGACCACAGCTACCTGCCGACACATCAACACATAGTCCAAGTAAGCACGCGCACGCATCGTCAACACGGGAATCCTTCTTCGCTTCATTTTCGAGCGCTTCCTTCCCCCATCTGACAGCGCTCGCCTGCTGCCAGCCATCGCACGGCCTATTGCACAACAGACAACCAACGAGCCAGCGCACCACGACTCGTTTTCTGCACACAACCCGACACCCGAGACCAAGGCCTGGGATTTAGCTTCCGGATCGATCATGAGCTTTCGTTTAGGCTCTGCGACATTGTGAATCACCACACAAACACCACAACAGTCACCGATTCCGCCCGACCCCTTGCCGTGGTTCCCACAACTCCTTTCCCTGCCTCACCCGTGAGCCCTCCGACATCCCTTGTTCCGTCGCTCTGGCCTCCGACGCCTGCACCGGCCTGCACCATGGCCTTCACATCCCAGTACCGAATGCCCGGTACCTACTTTGATGCACAACCCGCCGGAGTTCACCCTGGCGTCTTCCGACCACCCGCTTCTCCCTCCGCCGGTTCTTCCTACTGTTTCGCTAGAGCAAACAGCTACCACGCCGAAGCAAATACACCGTCAGCTCAGGCAAAAAGGAAACGGCGCAACAATGCCTCCCGCGAGGCTACTCCGCTGAATGAATGGAACGATGGCAACATGAATCTAGACAGCTCGAGCGAACTCCCTAGACACGAGACCCCTTTACCGATCCGAGGAGCCCGATACACTCTGGCTGGCCAGCTCGAGACACCTGGTGCCGGCATCAACACGCCTTACGACAATGGTAACTTGGATGAGAGCATGTACTCAGACGGCGATTATCGAAGAGCCTTGGGATCAAAACGACCACACGAAGAGATGGAATCGCCTATTCCAGGCCAGCCGACTGTACTGGTCCAGCCTAGCCATCCAGTCGCCGGCGGCTGGAGCCGCTTTGCGTTCAACACTATTGGTGGAGTCGTAGGCAAAGTCTGGGAATTCTGCAAGGCTGGGGCCTTCATTGGCTTCTCTGCTGGGGGTGGCAAGGCTTATACCATTGATGGCCAGAGTATTCGTCCCTCTTCAGCTGCTACCTCAGCTTTACCTGCGCCTCAGCCAGAATCATCCGAGAAGTTCAACGAAAAAATCGATTGGAGACAACAGCAAAGTCCCCAAAACTTGGATACTCCCGTCGGAGATATCACGCCGCCCGGAGGATTCCCTCGGCCCCTCTTCACATCGTATGTCCGGGAGCCAGACCAAGCTCTGAACCCCAAACCCGAGGTTGAGGTCGAGGTCGAGGCCGAGGCCACACCTTCGCGACCCGCCGTAAAACGTCGACAGACGAGTGCTGGGAATCATGACGAGCTGCGAAACTGGGTTGTGGTAGACGAGTCAGCACCAGGCAATAGGCCAGTTTCGAGGGCATCGATGCGACCAGCATCCCGCAACATGCGCCCTTCCCTAGTCACAGGCCGGAGGATTAGTGTTCCCAAGCCTCGTCTCAGCTCGATCCCGATCCACAACCGCCGCCAATCTACGGCCAGCCACGAATACGATAGCCCGGACACCGCACCACTGTCATATCAGGAACCAGCAAGCTTCGCCAGTGTGAGATCTCCGGAGCCGCCGAGGACCTTGACTGGGCCCTCGCCGAGCCGAATCCCACTTCCAATGCAGTCTGCCGGCTCGAGTCCGAACCCGTTCGCAAAGACGACCGTCTCGGCCCGGCGTCAGAGTGCCATTCCGTCACCAGCACAATCTTTAATGAGCCCACCTATACGCTCGCATCGCCGCTCCAATAGCAGTGCCTCAGCAGCGTCTCCTCGTGGTAAACTCAAGGAGTTCGGAGTGGACTCTATTCGCGCGAGCCCTCGGCTCGACGTGGAAGCCAAGAAGTTGGCGGCCAGACGAATCAAAGATGAACATGACACCGATGCGCGGATTAATGATTTCAACCAGAGGCTCAAGGAGATGATTCGCCAAGGCAGGGAGGCTCTTGGCACCAAGGTCGAGGTGGATGACGATGGATGCGGCTGGGAGGATGACTGAAAGAGAGTACTTTGATGTTCATGGAGGGCGTTTTGCTAGGTTCTTTACACACATCTGGGCAGGTCTGCTTTTTGGCGGGGAGTTGAAAGGATGATTTGGTCGCGTGATACCATCCACCATACATGCGGCATTCTTGACAGGACCCCAACATTGCCTCGGGTCTAGATCTGCAAAGGTAGTTTCCAGCCCGAGATCTTCGGGTTTAGTAATGCCAAGGGTCTTTTTTGATAATATCTAAAGCCTGATAAGTTGTGAATGCTCTACTATCCAAGCGCAACGGATTCGTAAACCGTGCTTTTAATGCTGATCGTGACAACTTGAGGCTGTCTGTCGCGAGCCACGTTGTGCTTCTTTGGCGACCGGGATTTCTTCTTTGAACGGATTTCAGAATGCGACATCTTTACCAAATATAGCCTTGCCATACTTGCTGTTGCCCCATGCCAACGCTGCATCCACATATTCAAAATCAGGACTCGCCCATTGGTGCGACCGCGGCACAGATGGACGAATCCCCTGCTTGGAGCCGCAGCTCTGGCATACCTCGTCGTTGAGCTTCTCCAGCTCGGTCTCGCAGGCCTGGCAATGCTTGGCGCAGAACCATCGCGGGCAGCTCACCTCGACGCACTGTCGATCCATGGGCATGTGGTCGACTGTCAAGTGCTGCCCTCCGCAGCGGCACTTCTTGAGGTGACAATCGCGACCGGCGTGGCCCGGAATACCACACATGCAGCAGCGGGCTTTGCACATCATGGCTGTGATCTTGTCGCCCAAGTGAAAGGTGGGACATTCGCCTGGTGTGCACATTTTGGGGCATTGCTTGGCGAGGTGTCGTTGAGGAAAGGGGCTGCAGCGGCAACGATTGCGCCTGGAGCTGGTGCAGGCGTCGACGTTGTGCCATGCCTGGCCGCAGTGGCCGCAGGGGAACGGGCAATGTTTCGTCTTGTGATAGCGGTCAAGGCAGTTATGGCAGGGATTCTTTTGCTCTTGCCGTGGCTGTACTGAAGCCTCTTGGACGCTGGTTTGGAGTCTCTGGAGCACTTCTATTAACGTGCGAGGGTCCATGTCGGTTGTTATCCCCAAGGCGTTGAGCTCAGCGGCGGAGAAATCGAGACGCACATGCCTGGGCGGCATCGTTGCGGATTTTGATGCGTAACGAATATTATATCGTCTCGTTTTTCCTGGGGCTCAAATTCTTGTATGATGATGTCGGTAGTAATAACAGCACCCGAAGGTAGTGGTGATGAGGCGACGGCGAGGTCGGAATGGCAAACGAGGGGGCAGGTATCAGTGGCTGAGGTGATTTAGGCTGCAGTGCTTCCTCCGAATGTTAAACTTGCGTGGAGTATCGCTGGTTCCTTCGTCACTTGTTAGGTATATGGCAGACGATGTGGCTGGGTATATTCTAGTAAGAAGACTTCCTCGGTGCCGCAGTGGCTGTTGTTTGATGAGGCGATGTGCCGCTTTGAATTCACCGAGACACACCGGCCACAAATACGCGTTATGCACGGCCCACTTATCTAGGGACACACAGTGTTGAGACATGTTGTAAAGCCTTCCACTTGACTGTGCAGCTGGAGACGCATCTTCACAGGATCCAATGTCATTTAAACCCCAGTTCTTCCTCTCTCCCACTCAAATTCTATACAAACACACAACGTCCTCAGGTTCTATCTTCACTCTCCACGCATACCAGAAGGTTTCATGGCTCTACATGAACAATCGATACTCGAGCATGTGCCAACTTTTACAGAGTCCTGCTCCAATACGTTCGCCAGTGCTCTACATCACAGCTTATGCTCCCTTACGAAAACAGCCGCGATTAATGCCAGCGCTGACGAGATGAGTGAGAAACCGTGGCTAAAGCCCAAACCCTCGACGTACGCCTGCACGACGGCTGCTGAAACCTTTTTATCCGCATGATCGATGTAATCAACGCTCGACGTGGCTTTTGCGATAATCTACCCCAGTTCAGATTAGTACCCGTGACGGCTTTAGACAAGCAACGACTGGCCTCTCTCTGCTTACCTGCTTTCGCACCACTGCGCTGAGGTCCATGCCTTCCAGCAATGCATCTAGCCGCCATCTCATCGTTTCCATCATGACGGCACTAACACATGACAGGCCGAGGATCATGCCGATTTGGAACGTCAAAAACATTCCCGACGTCACTGCTGCCTTGTGCTTCGGGTTGGCTGCGGCTTGAATGCTGATGAATCCCGCCGACTGTACCAGGCCAGCCCCAAACCCACCAGGCACGATGTAAAGCGACTCCCAAGCATTGGTATCTCCATGCCACCGGAGTAGCAAAAGCGAGTAGGAGAACATCGACGCGACTGTTGCAATAATCAACAGAGATTTGTAACGACCAGTTCTGTGCAAGTTAGCAAGTCGCTCCAGACAATGCACATCTTTAGGATTGACCTACTTTCTGATCAAATATCCAGCAAGGACGCCACCAACGGCATTCCCAAAGACAGCAGGGAAGAGATGTATTCCAGCAACAGTGTTGGACACACGCTGGGTCACCTGGAAATAGAGCGGGACGGAGAACATGAGGCCGAGTTGAGCTGCGACTTGCCCACCGCTAATGACGTATGTGAGGATGATGTCGCGATGCTTCAACAGTTCCAGGGGAAAGATTGGCTCCTTGGCCCACCACTCCTCGACGGCGGCAAAGAGGCCACCAAATACGGCTGCTACACCAAACAGAATGAAGATGAGTGGGTGGCTCCACGGTATCTTGGTACCTCCAATCTCAATTGGGAGGAGAAAGGTCAAGATGAAGAGTGCCAACAATGCAGCGCCGAGGAAGTCGATCCTCGCCAGAGAACTCTTTTCGATGTCGATGGGCTTGCCTCTTGCTTCAGCACCTTCCTCTCCCTTCCCCACTTGCTTGCCTTTTGGCAGGAAAAACCAGCACAACAAGACAGCAAGCAGGAAGATGGGGGCCTGGCCGAGGAACGACCATCGCCACCCAATGGTGTCGGCTAGCCAACCTCCCACAGGTCCACCAAGACTTCGTCCTACTGTTGCGGCCAGATTAATACCTGCTTGCCATGCAGCCACGTCACGGAGTGGGACGAGATCTATCAACGTTAGCTTAGTCCTTCCATAAAGGATCCTCTGACATGTTCTACCTGTCACCAAGAGCAGCCCAAGGACGTTCAGTGCTGAGCCACCAGATCCTGAAATGACCCGTCCGAGCACGACTTGCCACATTGTGCGACCGACACCGACCATTGCGCTGTGAACAGTCAGTTGACAATCATGCGGATAGCCTTGATCAAACCTACCATCCAATGGAAAACAAGGTATAAGCCACCATGAGCAGGGCACGGCGCCCGTAAATGTCACTGAGCTTGCCATACTTTCCGTTGAATTAGTGAATAGACTCACTCCAACCAGAGAGGGGGGGGCTACGAACCAGAGTCTGGGTCGCCGCTCCTGCCAACGCGAACGATACAAAGAGCCAACTAGAGTTTTCGAGATCATCGAATTCAGAGGCAATCGTTGGGTGCGTTGCCATCACCAAAGAGCCATCGGCGTTCGCAGTGAAAGTTCCAACCAGCAGGATAGATACTATCTTGACGACTGCCCAAGTCGACGTCTTTTGAGCTTGTAGCTTGGGATCATCACTGGCGGTTGCAACGGGAGTTACTTGTTCGACATCGACGCTCGAATCGACCACTTCTGACGACCGTGTGAGATGCCATGGAAGGAATTGGCCGTCCGAGTCTCCGCTAGACGACGAGGAAGTCAAGGAGCTCTCACCTGATGAACTCGACCCCCGTCGAGTATTCGACAACAACGGCGAACTCTCGTCCACCACCCTCTGTACTCCTTCACCACTTTGCGATATCTTTACGCGCGCCATGTCGATCGATTTGGTTGTGTGGATGAAAGATTTACAGAGCCGCAAACCAGCAGATGGAAGAAAAGGAAGGTGTCATCGGCTCTTCAAAACTCTGATGCAGCTGGGATGAACCCTTTCAGATCCGCAGTGGACAACCATGCCATGCGTCCGGTGTGGCACTCCGAGTTTCCCATTCACTGGGGAGGAAGGCAACGCCGCAGTCTCGGCCAATCAGGCCTGACATCATACCCAATGTTTCCCCTTTCCTCGATCAGTCAGTCAATGGGCATCTGAGGAGAAACCCTTTGACAGGGAAACAGAAATTGCTGATAAGAGGATCCAGGCTCGCCCGGCGCTGGGGCTCAGGTATGGCGACATATTGCGCCATCGGCGCCATGCGACTTCGGACACCTCTCGGGCCCCCACACGGCCGGCAGGACGGTGGTAACCGGTGGATTCTGGGCCATGTTTGCTGCCTTCCCGGAAACCAAAAACTATTCGAACGACTCAAATTCAACGACAGAGCCTACGGATTTCTCAATTTTTTTATGCGAGACGCTGCAAGACGCAGCCGCGCGTGAAGATTCTCAGCGAACAATATCCTTAGCTCGGATCTCAGTCCGAGGATTGTTCCTCTCTCCGCTAGACCCGTGCGACATGTGGCAATTCGGGTTGTTGTGAGTCGGAGCCGGATCTCGCCGGATAACTATGTTTCCCTGACTCATCAACACAGCTGACCAGATTTCTGAAACTCTGCTGTTCTTTGCGATCGCCGCTCCGGTACCGAAACTATGTGTGCGCACGCCGGCTTAGATCGCGTCGCGACGAGCCGATTGTTTGGGTTTCGGGTCCTTCACTACAAGTTGCGTTTATCGGCCCCCGGGCTTCTTTCATCTCCCGATCCCAATGTCTTTGGATGACTCAAACACTTGAGTTTTCGGGATTGAAACAAACGTAGGATCTTTATCCAAACGTTGGGCTGTAATTTTTTCTACTTCAGATTCCATCAGGATTGTGACATATTCGATCTAATAACCCACACTTCCGTGTAATTGGGAGTCGCTCAATGGCAATGGAATTAGACCGACGTTGATATAACAGGAAATCTCTTCATTAATATTGGTAAGATTGACGTTCAAAAGGCATGTTGCGCAAGTCCCTAGCCAAAGCCTTCAGGCCACTTCCCAAGTTCCTATCATGTCTTGACAGCTGGCATACGCTTGTTTCAGCTTCGGATTGGGTCTTGACTGCCGCTTTTTCTGACGCTTCCTCTGAATCGCTTTGCAATAAAATTGCATCAGGAATGGGCTTTTGAACATCCGTACAAGATTATAGGCGCATGGGTGACATGTATACGCCTATTACTATGCCCTGAAATAGCACACAACTCCACACTGATAGTCCATTTATAATACATTTAAAAAGCAAATAGCACGGAGTTTCCGTTTACTTAATTACCTCCGAGCCTGAGTAGCCCATTAATCGGTGTGATGACTCTGCATACTTGCCGCTATCACCATATTCGCGGCTGGGCGAGCTATGCCCTGGATGACACTGCAGGTGTAGAGTGGTATGGGGAGAAGAATGAGAACCTTATTGTATGGGCGACCCACGCAACTGACCACAACCGACATCTCTTCTTGAATGCATCTGACTAGCCGAGACAGCATCTGCAATTTCCGCAAAAAACCGAGCATCAATAATCCATCCCGCGGATCCTCCGGCAGATGAACGCAAAACCAAACTCGGTGGATTCCAAAGGGAGGACATCCAACATTGTACGACGTACGAAGCAATACGAACAGTACGAATGGTAGCATCTACTTCGACAGTTCACAGCCTTTCAGCAATGTCTTTATAAGGACTAGCCTTGACGCCTTTGACCTTCAATCATGACTTCTCACATCAGACGATAGTTGACACACTCCTCACCTTCACTTCGATATATCCAACACTCTTTACAGTTAAGACGCTTTCCATCAAGATGCATGCAACTCTGAAGATCGCCATTCTCAGCCTTGTCTCTCTGGCTGCTGCTGTGCCATCCTCTCCCAACGCTGACGCCGGTGCGCTCTTTGCCATTGAAAGTGAGTATATGCATGAGATCCTTCGTGTCGAATATTTGTCTCTAATCAAGCTATCGAATTGTAGAGAGATGCACACAGCTCTATGCCAGATGCAATGACGATTGCTGTGGTTCGATGACTCGCTGCAACTATATTCCCATCTGCGGCAACAACCGCTGCGTATCATACGACCCCGCTATTACCTACAACCCTACTTGCAACTAGGCCGTTACTCAATGAGTGGGCTCACTTGGGTTAGAAAGTCCGACAACTTTTAGCCTTCTATATGTTGGAAGGGTTCTGAGAGGAGCAGAGGAAAACTGAGCCAAAATTGGTATGAGGAATCTTTGAGTGGGCTGGCTTCATGAAGTCTTACCGAATAGAGCTCAAGGCCTCTACCCTGTCGCCAATACTCTTCTTAGCTATACAATTTTGACATACAAACTCCTATACTCCCGTACATTATGCCGTGGCGGTCGAAAGGGTCTCCCTAGCCTTGATATTGAAGTCTGACAAGTCAACCCCCATAGACCGAGCTGAATTGGGTTAGGAAGATGAAGCTTGTCTTATCTTTTCATATTGAGACTCTCGCAAACCTACCAAGTCATCCAAGTTTGAGTATCACTAGCGCTAAACAGCACTCTCAATTTAAGTACCACACCAATTAGGCTCTGCGACCTCTCCCCCCAATGATCGACGTCTGTGTGAAACCCAGAACTTGCTAGTTACGCCTTCTTCAGACTGAAAGTCATTTGGTGACCAGCACCTCCTAACTTGGTGACATACCTCCACATGTCATTTTGCCATATCAATTTTGAGTTTGACGATTCCAGCTTTAGAATCATAAAAATGATACTCATCATAGGCTTTGCTTGAGCCTTAGGCTCTGGCTTCCACTTCAACATAGTCGCCGTCATAGGACTTATCATCACATTCAATTCGGAGCGCTCGACACTGACAGTTAACTTTTGGGTCAGCCTAGAGCTTGGTATTTGCCTCATAGCTACTAATGCTCCCTCGCTACGTCCGACCTTTTCTGGTGAGTTCGGAGGTTTGCAATCCAAACGCAAGCTCCGATTACAACATTCCTGGATACTGTCTAAAGAAGTAATAATGCATTTTGCCAGAGAAAACGGTTTACTCATTGGACTCCTCTCTCAATCATACGGACTCTATGTCTCCGACACTAGGACTTGGCAACAACCGTTTCCAATAGAGAGATGGCCGAAGGAGCAGCATTAACCCGAACAAGTCGTCGAGCTGTCCAATCATGCAGAAATTCTGATTGTCAACATGCTATCATGTAAGACGGTAGAAGAGAGTCTGATGACAGAGGTCTGCACGGGAGGCATAGCGCAATGCCTAAAAACCTTGAAAGAGGTATATGCTCAAGAAAGCTCATGTACCGACATTAAGTATTGCTGAAAACAACATGGGGTCTGAAGAGCGCATATCAGGGCATCGCGGCATGTCTCGGACGATGAACACGGGACTACGCGAACGATGCTCACTTGGATGTGGTAGATAGTCATTCATATTCTTCTATATCTATTCAGCGCTTCTGTTTTCCTGCCAAGATCACTATTTTTCAGGTTTCTCAGGAAACAAGTCTTTGCTAAAAGTTCCCCTCGGCGCATCCTCGGCTTAGGCTCTCGCGGCATCCTAACGGATTACGATCTTCGTCGTGTTTTGCTGGAAGCAGCCAAACTGGCAGATTGGGGCATACGAGCAACATTTGCCAGCTGGAATGGAATGCCAAGTGTAGGCTTATATCCTCGCAATATCTGGCAAGCCGACATCCCTTTTTTTCTTGTTCTCCGACCACCAGGCGAAAAGACTGTCATAGCCGGCTGGCACGGCCCAGGTGACCACCCCTTCGCCCGCCGTGGAGCCTTTGGTAGTAAGTGATCATGGAACTCGGCATGCCTGAGCCGCTCCTGCGCCGTGTGTGCCGGATAAGTCGGAAGGACCGGATGCCGCCGCTCGCCCGCTGGCAATGCTTCAGGAGTGGATTTCATGCCATGGCCGAGAGCGCTCTGAGGTAGCCCTGAGGAGTTTTCCGAGGCTTTTCAACGTCGTCGTCGTGTCGTCATCGTTGTCGTTCTTGGTCGGAACGCGAGATCATCTACAACTTGGCGTACCGGCATCGGAGACGCTGTGGTCCGCTTCCTCCTGGGTTGACACGCAAGTTTCTGGATTATGATACTCTGTACTGGTCTGTGTGCCGCGATCATAACCAAGATTTGCAGTATCTCTTCTTGTCGCTTTCGTAATCTTCATAAAATCCTTCCCACATAACTCGATCGGCGCACCGGGGTCGATCAGGCTTGTCTTCTTCGTCGTCGGGGCAGTCCGGCAAGGCAGCTTTCCATTGCGCATCCGAACGCGAGAGCCACGGCTTCGGCAACGGCCAATCGCTGAAGTGAACCAGATAGGCTCTTGATACCTCGGCCATGGCGTTCCATTCCTCGTCATCGTCGGGCGCAAGGTATTTCTGATGCTCCTTGGCCCGGAATTCGCCTGTCAAAAGTGCAAGTCGACGATGCGGGAGGATCATGGCCGAGTCCTTGAACATGTGGTTCATGACCTCCATGTCAAAATCCCCGGACTTGAGCGCCTCGCGCACAATCTTGTCGTACCGCGACTTATTAGGCTCGATAAGCATGACATGGGAGCCGAGGACTTGTTTGACCACGGGCGTGTCCTTCTCGTTCAGCCAGTACGCGCGAGGGACGGCGACGGCTGCCATCGGTGCCAGGAAATAGTGATCCATGTTGTTCAAGATCTGGGAGTCGGAATCGAAGGCCAACACTCGTGTGTAATCTGTAAGATCGAAGGCATGGAACTTGGTCAGGCTCTTGGACCATGTTGCCTCTCCTTTGTGTGTGGTAAGTAGACCAAATGGCCGCATGACGAGGTCCGGTAGAGCCTTTTGAATGTTCCTAATAGCCTTGGCCTCCTTCGAATCCCCTTCCACCCAAGCTTTGGGGAAGATCAGGACTTGGTTATGCTTTGCGCCGAAGCGGTGCAAGCGATTGAAGTTGATCACCTAATCGTCTGCGCGTTAGTAGAGGTTCTCCCGTGTACCACGCTGCCTCCCAGAAAGCCGTAGGGTAGACATACTGCATTACACAGGTAGTTGATGTCCGTCGCGTACTGAACATATGCAAATCGAGGTTCTAGCTGCTCGGTAGTCCAGAACGGCTTCAGCTCTGCGAGCGAGCCTGGTCTATCAAATGTGCCGTTCTTCAGGACATTTTGTAGAGGGTTTGGTATGAAGTTGTACTTTATCGACTGGTAGCCCGTCAAAAGAACGAAGACGAAGATTCCGCAAGTCAGCGCAACGGCGCGTTTGGTTGATATAAACATGATCGATAACGAGAAATAAGACGGGTTGAGTTGACGGCCCACTGAGGTGACCTGACACCACGAAAGGATTGAGACGCAGGTAGGGTTGCGGCTACCGTTTGTCTACGTCCATGAAGAATCCTATGTGCAGAGACGATGTGTACAAAGAAAGACTCGTTGAATCAGGGGGAAGTTACGAAAACCTTAACCTGAGCCGAAGGAACCGTTCCATGGTCCAGGATGCCGCCCTCCTTATTTGAGTCTGGCGCGGGCTGCAATGCCCCTCCTCTTCACAAAAGGAGGCTAGCAGCATGAGGAACTATTTCCCGCTGACTTTGGAAAAGCGAATCCTCACCGTAAAGAGCTATGGTTGAGGCAGGGCTTCCTGGCGCAAAAGACCTCGTATCCAAAGGCCTAACTGTCAGACGGGTGGGACGCGCACCTATTTAGGGATCAATGACAGTCTTAGTCTCTTGGGGGTTCTTGGGGCGGGACAAGGATGCCTGCTAGCGCAAATCTAACGTTGATGCGGAGTGCCCGGAGCCGAGGCCGAGGCGTCAGGACGGTCACTGCCAGTGTTTTGGGCCATTGTGGTTCGGAAGAAACGTATCATTTGAACAATAATGTAGCTTTCTCAATGCTAAGGGCGTGATTGGGTTGATGTTGAATCCATTAAAAGTCTTGTATCGATCGTCAACGTCAGTCCCGGCTCCCCGGTACCAAATGTTACCCGACTGCCAATTGCCTTTCTTGGGTGGCTTGACTATCGCCATTTTGGCGTGGGATGGGTCCCCCTGGCTTAAACTTATGAAGTGGAGAGTGAGTCGATATGAATCACTGATCAACGAGTCAACAACACGAAAGGGTCGGCCCCCGCTATGTCCCTGAGCTACCGCAACTTTCGGATAGTGATTCCGTCGCAGTGAACGCGGTAAGAAAAATGCCGCCGGTATCCAAACGAAGAATAGCATAATGACCACAATCATGATGGAAAACGTACATAACCAATGAGTTTTCGAAAAAAAAAAAAAAAAAAAAGAAAAAGAAAAAAAAAAGAGAGGGTATTATGGCGCCAAGCAACTTTGCGCGTCGCCGATACGCTCGAATCACGGCTGGCATCATTCTTGCCATGGTAAGTTTCCATAGCCTGTCGGCGAGGACAAAATCTGACAGAAAATTTGAAGCTCGTCTGTCAAAATGCGGCCAGTATATTGGTGAGTCGACAGCCTTTTACTCCGCCTAGCTTGTAGTTCGATCTTGGATAACCAGAATCTGACCGATGGGGTTCAATAATCAGTTGCAGCACAAGGTGCAGAGCCGCCCGCAGGACAATTCCGCTCGGTATGAGCCTCTCAGTGCTGTCATCCTCTCCGAGGCTTTGAAGTTGCTCATCTCCCTTGGCGGTTCTGCCTGGGCTTACAACAACACTGAAGACCGCTCGGCAATTACTTCCGGGTTTTTAGATTACGTGCGGAGCGGCCATGACAACGCTGCCATACCGGCTTTCCTGTACACGCTCTCGGCCACCAGTCAGAGTTTTGGAGCTTACCATCTCAGTATCCTGCCGTACCTGATGCTATCGCAGGTCAAGCTCATCCTGACACCTATCTTCAGCAAAGCCCTTCTAAAACAGACTCTGCATTCTCATCAATGGATGTGCCTTATCATCATGGCAGCGGGAATAGTCATGGTACAGGTCGGTTCTCTACCGTCGTCATTGAGCGATGACAACAGCGGTGGCGCAGGCAAAGATAGGGCCTTCGGAATTGTCGCCATGCTAGTAGCTGGTTGCTGTAGCGCTTTCGCTGGTGTCTACATGGAAGCTGTCCTGAAGTCCTCAGAACGTAACTTCATGGTTCGCAACGCTCAGCTGGCGGCATATGGCTGTTTATGTGCAATCTGCGGCTTCTTGTGGCAGTCAGACTTTAGCACAAAAGGTTTCTTCCGTGGTTACACGACGCTGGTCTGGGATTTCGTTCTGTTGCAAGCCATGGGAGGGTTTCTCGTCTCCTGGGCGGTCCGTGTATCGAGCACCATTGCCAAGAATTATGCCCAGAGTTTGGGTTTCCTGTTAGCCTCGACGATTCCCCTATTCTCGTCGCCTCACGCATTGAGCTTTGAGGTAAGGACACCAAGAGTCCTCGACCTGTATTCTCGAACCCTTGAACTGACTGGCTTGTAGTTGTACTCTGGTATCGCAATGGTTCTAGGAGGTGTTTTCGGGTCCCTCTGGAAGACGGATATGCCTGTTGATTCCAGAGTAGACAGTGACGAGAGATCTAAGGAAGGATCAATAGTTTAATGACGAATGACACGTACATTCATGGCCTACGGCTTCTCTTCCTCATCATCTCACTCGACAACGCAGAGGTTCTGGATTAGAGACCATGGAGGGTTTCACCACTTCGGAGATTCTAGTAAATAGAGTGAGTTCCCTGATGTCCGTGAACTCGGGGGAGTAGTTGCCTTTACGGCCTCGCTCACTTTTCTTTCCGCACTTGTGGCCAAGGAGCAGCAATTCGCTGAGATGATTCTTCCGCCCACCTCGAAGAGCGCAGCCAATGGTGCTGCCGCCGTAATGTCGATATAATACAATAGGAGCTGCCTAGACTATGCTGGATATCCACGCTTCTCACTCTCCGTGAAGAAGATGACCATGCGCCATAACTTTTTGACCATATCCTCTGCCTCGTCATCCAATGCCTGCGTTAAGTGTTAGCGACCCTACATAGAGAAGGGAGAGATATGGTGTACGTACCGCTGCAAGCTCTTCCACCAGCTCTGAAGGCTTCCCGTGCTTCCGAAGATGCTCCTCCACGACCTCCACAAGCATCTCCTCTTGTACGCCTAAATACTCGACAATTTTCTTCTCGACAAATGGACGAAGCTTGTCGCGGATGATGGCATCGTCCAAGAAGTCCCACTGCACAGTCCAATTCCAAAGGCCGTCTTTCTCCGACGGGATTTCCTGGGCAAGAGCACGAACGGCTTTGCTAATCTCCTCCTCAGTCATCTTATCCGCCGCAGTCGTAGGCTCGAACTGGATGGGAATAAGTTGTCTTCTCGTTGTGCTGTCTTGTTCCTCATCGTCAAGAAGACCCTCCACCTCAGCAACAGTCCGTCGTTGGGGAGCCACGCGTTGGGCTTGTGCGCGCTGAGCCGCAGCACCCAGCGATAACTTGAAGGGTGCTGGTGCGGACGCAGCTGCTTGTTGTCGCTGCTCCATCTCATGAGCTTGTTGGTCAAGGAAGGAGTCGGCCATACCGCGCGCCCTCTCCATGTCTGCAGCCTCTCTCCGGCGCTCGTCCTCTTCAGCCCTCCGATCTGCCTCGTCCCTGGTTTGTTCGTCGGTTCGTTCGATTTGTCGCTTCTTGACCCAGCCCGCATGGTCGCGGTAGTACAAGTGGTTCTTTCTGGACGCTTCTCTTTCGTCATCCCAGGCCTTTTCCCGTTCAAGCTGCTCTTGTACACGTCTCTCCAGCGTCTCTTCATCCTGCAATTCACGGTCCTTTTCTCTCTCCAAAGCTGCAGCACGGGAGCGTTCTCTGTTCACCCATTTCCGCTCCGCCTCAAGATACATCTTTTCTTCCTCTGACTTTTGCTTCGAGAGCTCCCGCTGGTAGATCTCCTCGTCGTCGGCCTCCGTATCTTCGTCTTCGCGATTAATAGACAATTCGGCGTTCGAAATACCCCCGTTCACGAAGGATGTCGTGCGGGAGCCGTTCTGTCCTCTGGGGCCCGAGGGCGCGTTGTGCATCCCACGAGGTCCAACAGGAATATTGTTGGAGTTGGAAGGCGGCGGAGAATCCAGCCGTGATGACCGTGAGGGTCCATTGCGGTTCCGTTCCATCTCCTCCATCTCTTCCTCGCGTTTGAGACGCTCCAGATCTCGCTTGTTGCTGCGTTCTCTGAATGCTGCGATCTCTGCGGCGACAACTTCTCTCATCTCTGCAGGGATATCTGCAAGCTCATCATCTTGAGCCAGAGGGATATTGACAACCTCGACGTTCTCTCCGGAGTTGCCCATTGACACATCGCCTTCGCCGTCGGCTGTACTTGCGGATTTGAGATACACGAGGTCTCGGATGACCTGCTTCAAAGTATCCTTGGCGGACTTTGTCCGGAATTCGGCACCACTATCATCACCTCTGCCTTCCTTGTAAGATTCGATGTACTTGAGAGAGTTCGGGTCAATGGTGACTTGAAGCTTGACCATTTCTACTCCGTCGAAAGAGTCGCCTTCCGATGGTACACTTTCGGATGGGGTTTGTCGCTTCAGGGGGACCTCGATGTCTTGGAGCAGATCGCAAGCGGTTGCAAAAGAATCGGCATCCTCGTACTGCGCGAAGCCAAACTTCGCTCCTTTGCCGTCAGAAAGCACCGAAGTAGCGACGTCCCATCTTCGAAGTTTTCCCACAGAATTGAGGATGGATTCGATGCCTTCATCGCCTCTAACGCCTTCAGGAATCTTATGGATGAATAATGTTCTCAACTTCTCCTCGTTGGTCGGCGGGACCAGGGACTGCATGTGCTCGCGTGCGGCAGCGCGAGACTGATCGTACCCGCGGTCCATACCCAATCCTTGTCGTCCGCCGCTCGGAGTATTGCTGTCTTTTCTGCCGACATCGGGACCGCCTGCCTTGCCACCTATGGTACCAAGACGAATGACGGGTGCGCTGAAGTTGATATTTGGGAGGTTCGCGGGAGCTTGGAAGTTAGGCGGCAGGCCGCTTTGTCGGTTAGCTTGGGCATTGTTGGACTGCTGGACACCAGGAGGTGGTGCCATTCCCGGAGCGGAAGACATGCCTGGCGGAGGGCCTGAAGACGGGTTAGCAGAGCAGCTTGGTATCAAAGCATTGTATTCCGAACCTAGACCAGGTGGAGGAGCCATGCCTGGGGCGCCATTGGACCCCGGGAAGCCACCATAAGTCGGAGGCGGCCCATACGGGTTTCCTGCTGCAGGAGATGAGTGAGAAAAAGATCGCTTTGGGGTTCGAAGATTGACGCACCTCCATAAGGATTGTAGGACATGGTGAGAAAATCTGCGGGGTTGTTGATTAAAGGGCAGATGTGGGATCTTTGATCAACGATTCTGTAACTGGCGAGACTGCCTCGGGTCGCGGAGATGAAATGCTGCTTGTGATAAACAGATTGTCGATGATGCTCCCGTTCAGCGGTCGCTATGCAGATCGAAGGAAGGGAAGGGGCGACAGAGACTGCGTGGGAGACGGAGGCAGGCGGAGAGCGTAGCGGGAGGTGGGACGCAGAGCTCCAAAGTCGAACGCTGAAGCTCTTGGTCTGTCTCTTTAGTCAAGTCTCTCTGGGCCTGATCCAGTTCTCTCCAAAATTCGGCACGAGGCCAACGCGAATTGGCCTTGTAACGCGACAGCTCTTTGATTGGTCGATTACCATAGTGGACCCCCGGCATCTCGGAGATACCCTTCACCGAACAAGCTTCCAAGCGATTGAATTCGCGACTCGTGAGGTCCGGGCTTTGGAAGGAAATATTGTAAGGTCAATCGCCAAAGCTGCGCCAAATTGATTCCCTTTGCATTGTGCTCTCCTGGCCTCGGCGTCACTCAATCGCAATGTGAGTACCTCTCCTCGTACTACTGTGATATCTCGACTAACCAAAGTCTTCTAGGGCGTCGGAAATCGGGTTGCTGAGCAAGAGACTGCTCACCACCTGCACCATCCGCAATCCCTCTCTGCATGCATCACAAGCGTTCCGACAGCCATTATGGACTCACCCGCGTGCCTTTGCGACCTCGTCAATCCTTTCCGCCCCCCCTCGCTCCGGTTCACGATCAAACATTGAAGGCCTGTTCTCTAAGCCATCCCCGACGAACTACGCCCAACCGCCGCCTCCGCCGCCCGCCGCCGACGCGGCTGCCCCTTCTCAGGAGAAGTCCGATAGCCCCTACGCATATGACGCCACTTCTGACACCTTTGATATTTCCAAAATCATCGCTATGGAATCGGATGAATTCCTCAAGAAGCACTACCCCACAAGCAAGCAAGAGCCCGACCTGCGCACACGTCCACAGACTGGTCGAACCGTGCACCTTACCAGCAAGACGGACCTGGCCAAGGCTCTGAAGCTTCTCGACTTCAACTGCAGGAAGAACAAGATCAAGAGACAATTCCAATTACAGAAGTTCCATGAGCGCCCGGGAAAGAAGCGCAAGAGACAAAAGAGCGAGAGATGGAGGGCTCGTTTCAAGGAAGGGTTCAAGGCAACAGTGGCGAGAGTTATGGAGCTCAAGAATCAAGGCTGGTAGGAGCGACCACTAGCATGTGACAATATCCCTGGGGAAGATGTAGCACATGGTGTCTACAAGATGTACAATATGTAGAAATCACAAAGATTTGGTTGTCCCAATGCGTTACTTAAGGTATAATTAGCGGCTTGAACGCTGCATTTCGAGAGCTCAGAGTGTATAGGTGTCTACAGAGATTTCTCAAGTGGTTTCCTGGACGGTGACGGGGCCGGGCTCGTCTTGATCCTCGGGCGGCTACGGAATACAGCCTCCATGTCTTCAACGGCCATCAGCTCCTCAGCAAGTATCGATGCATCAGGGTCCAGCCCCATCGTCTCCTCCTCAACGACGGGGATCTGGCTCTCGGTTCGGGCTCGAGGTCGTGACTTCTTCAGCGATTTTTGTCTGTCCAGTTGTGCTTTTTGGTGGGCGGCCTCAAACCTAACCATACTCTTGCGTGTGCGAGCCACCAGGTCGCCCTCATCAGTCACGCGAATCGTAACTTCCCCAGTCCGGCGATTAGCACTGGCGAAGGATGGTCTCAGGGTCAGTGTGTCATCTTCCTCGTCGTCTGGGTCGTATTTGACGCTACGCGAGGATCGAGCCATCGACAACCGCGTCCGCTCTGAGAGGGACAAGGTATGACGTGGTTTGGAGCGCTTGACAGGCGAGGGGGATGTAACGTCCATGTCCTTCAAGATCTGGTCTGCCAGCTCTTGTGTTGGTGATTTAGGCGGCTCGGGTGAGCTCTCTTCCCTTCCAAAGGGAACCTCCGCCTCCCCTTCTTCTCCCAGGGGCGGAGTTGCAATGCGGTTGGGGACTGTCTCCGTAATGTCGTCTTCGTCCGGTAAAGGGGGGGTCGGCGGAGGTATAGCCAGTTCATCCGGCGACTCTGGCGGTAGTAGCAATGGGCTAGGCAACGGGGCTGGCAGGTCAGAACTGCTGGTCCGGGAAGAAATATTGATGGCGGGACGTTCGAGCCGTCTGAGATGGGGTTCCTGCAGCGACGGACGCCGGGGCAAATTATTTGTTCCATGCAGATCGTCCTCTAATTCGCTGAGTTCTGAGATGGTCTCGTCTCCGAGGCTTTCCCTCGTAGCCAGAATCCCATCTGGCTTCTCGTGGTGGCGAGTCCGTGGGCCCAACGTCTCGGTGAGCTTAACCACAGGCAAAGAGCCTACTTCAGCCAATTCCGCCAGACAGTCATCCAAAAGATTGGAGTACTTCCTTGTCAACGAAGTGCTCTTCTTTGCAAGCTGCCTTTTCGGGCTTGTCCTTCCCAGATGCAAGCTCTCATGTGAGTCGAATTCGAGGTCGATGCCACGTTTTGTTCTCGTTGGCTGTGACGTCTTAGACGTACTGGCTTTGCGTCGTTCGCCGAACATGTCGGCTCGGAATTCCTGCCATCTCGCAAGTCTCTCCCTCTGCGTCCTGACACGGTCGTCCAATTGCTCCAAAAGCCCTGTGTCGTGCGTCTCCAATTCGGTAAGTCGGCCAGACTCCAAGCGCCGCCAGACTCTGTCAAAGGGGGCCGACAAGAGACCATCCTTCCGGGCGTTGGAGTCACCATAGAGAAGAGTCTCCATCCATTTCTCATTCCCAGCCCAGTTCGTTCGCAGCGTCCTCCATGTGTCCGATCTGAGATTGTCTGGCAGGTTTCGAGCGCTTGTTAATTCCCGAGCGGATTTGATCTCCTCCTTCCTCCGTGCAATGCCTTTCTCTTTCTGGCTCAACACCTCAGCAAGGTCGCGATATCGTTTCCTGGCCTCATTTTTCTTCCGCATAGCATTGGTGATGGAGGCTCTGTGAGCAAGCGCAAGAGTCACAAGCTCCGTCCGTTCAGCACTGTACCCCCGATTTTCCAACGCAACTTGCTGGGCGATAGCTGGATACTCGTGCTCGGCTTCTGCCACTTCGGCCACCATCTTTTTCAAAACGGCGGACGAGAAGACGGCAAGAACTTCTTCCAATCTCTCCCCTTTGCATTCGTCCAGCATGGTCTTGCGAACCACGGCGTCTCGTCCGAGGACTCCATTCTTCTTGGCCTGGTCGAGGCTTCGCAGGAGGGCAGCGCGTAGGTTCATGGATTGAACATGGTCTCGGGGCGGAAAGAAAGGTTGAAGCTTCTGCAAATCACCAAAGATTAGCAGAGTTCAGGACATACGCTATTTGCACATACATTCCGCGCCTCTTCCGGGTCCCAGAGCACAAAGAGCTGGTAGAGAGTCCATTCGACGCAGTGAATGCGCTTTTTCTGCACAGAGAAAGTCTGCGCATCGAAGTCTGGCCAATCTGAGAACGAGGGAAAGTCCAACAAGCGAAGGTTTGTCAAAAAGAGGGAGGCATTGGTGGTGGGCGCGATACTCGGAGATATCGAGGCGTTGAGGGGTGCGCTGAGGGTCTTGGTCGACGGGCCCGGTCGCGGTTGGCGTGACCGTGCAAGCAGAGAATTGGCTGGCAGAGTCGCCATGACGACATTTTGCTTTCATGAAATAGTCTCGAAGAATCAAAGTTGACTCTTGTCGTGCGTCTCCCTTCGGATGGGGTATAGGGGGGATGTTGTCTACGCAGGCGCGTATCGCATTGAATTAGTTCCAAATGCAGGCAGCGCATTTGTTGTGTTGATGGTGGGGAGGAAACGGCGGTGGAGGGATCAGCCCAGCAACGCTTAGCGCGCCAGGGGTCCCCAGAATCTCGGTTAGCGGTTAACTGCCTGCGCTGTCAGTGGCACGTCAAGGCTCCGCCTAACCTCACCTATCCTCACCTATCCTCACCTTGGTCCACCTCAGCTTGCCTTACATCAACTTATGCTCGGTGTAAATTGTCTAAGCTCCAATGCGAGCGGACTATCTCTTTGGTTCTTTTGGCAACACCTACTTCAGGCTCTCGGGAACTGGACTTTGCAAATATTCCCGAGTAGTATCAGACTCATCGAGACTAATCAAAGACAACCAGGTCCCTCCCGTTGGTTGATCATCAACTAGAGCACGGGTGTCTGTGCGGACAACATGGCGTCGCTGCTTTTTCTCCGAATATTGCTAGAGTTTAGACTCAATACCAACGGGTAGCCGGCCAAAACCAAATCTACGTAGCTTATCGATGTTGCACTCAACGTGGTTTCTCCATCGAGTGCATGGCTTTTCTACTCCCGTCTCTACGCCTAGTTCTCAATCTTACTAGTAGACTTCGGCTGCGATAGAGTTATATCAAGCAGTGGAAATGGCTTCTCGGATTTGACACTATGTAGTTTATTTTCTGCATCATCCAGACAGCCGAATTATCTGATCTCGAGTGGGAATGATGGTAGAGGCAGAGCCAAGGGGCATGTTCAGCCACTTCAGCTAATCAGCTTCGACAATGGCTGAGGCTGGTAGCACAATGGTCTATACAAAATCGTGAAGGAGGCCAAGTAGATTTCTAAAAACGACATCTTTCTACTCTACTTTCTTCCAACTCGTACGCAAAAACGTATCAATTACGACTACTACCCTAGATGTCAGTATCCACAGCGACAGAAATTAACGCGTCTTTGATCAACTCACAATGTGGCCCCTGATGCATCAGAACAGACCGCTTTCCCAGAGACTGCAACGCATTGGCCTTGTCCATTTGACAGAAGCCTAGTGCCGTTCTCAAGATTAGGGTCAACGTCTGTCCCGGCGAGATCTTGAAGAGCCTTTCGATCCGCGGCTTGCTGCTGTCGGCTACCGCCACGCTGAGGCGAGGCCGCAGCAAGGCCGAAAATGGCGACCAGAGTGACTGAGATAGAGGAGAGCTTCATGATTCGAATTCTTTCAGTGGAATTGAAATAAAATGGAAGATTTAAGGGTTGCAGTGTAGGGGGAAAGATCGGACCAGCCGGAAGATTAATTGATTGATCTTGAGCGAAGTCTAAAAGATTGGGAATGAAATACTGATTTCAGAAGATTGACATTCACTTTCCTGTTCTACCTGAAGTCTTTATATGAATTCCGTGAACCGGGGCGCGAAGCTCATGTGTTGTCACAAATGGGATGACAGGACGGTTTCGCGGTTGTCTCAAACTTGACAGGCGGCTCCTAGCACATCGGGGTGAACTTGACTCCTGCCACAATCTCGAGACAGGTCCATTCCAAGCGCATCTTAAGACCATCCTTATACTATGGAACCTCCTTCTGACACTAAGGGACTCATGATAGAGACCGAAAGAAGTCATCTTGATGCGTAGCAGGCCTCTTCAAACCAATCGCCTAGCACTTGAAATTTGAGTCTCCCGTTTCGGATCACGACTTGAGTTTCGTAAAGTGGAATGCTCGTCATCATACTAAGCATGGGGTGCCATATGAAGGGCGGGAAACCCAACGCTGTACATTTCTTCTGGAATATTTTTCCATATGAGCGCGGCCTTACGACTAGTCCCAGTTACCCTTATCGACGAAGCTGATTCAATGCGAGCATCAGAAATGGCTAACTTTCCCAGGATCAATTCCCATTGTCTAGGTTGAATAGCCCGCTCAACGGAAGCGATAATGAACGATTCAGAACCAACGAGACTTAAAATAATTTCAGTATAGGTTTTGGAATTTTGCATCTGTTCTTCTAATTAATCGACTTGTAATCAGCTTTCGGGCAGAATCTCCGTGATATTGCTTTTGGCAAGCTTCTCAGTCTCGTCCAATACTTGAATCAGCCCCTCTTTCGCAGAAGTGTGGTTGTAACCTTCAGGCTGAGCCATACCCATATGTTCCATTGTCACACAGATCACAGACTCCATCAAGCGCAGTGCCAAAGGTCCTGCAATTTCAACATTGTAGAATGCTGGGGTTTCATTGACTTCAAGCAGCCACGCGGTTCCGCTTGAGTCTATGAGAAAGTCCACTGCGAACAGTTCGAAGCATTTGTCCACTGTCGTGAACTTGTCCGCCATTGTGTGTGCAGCGGCTTGGAACAGCTCCGCGGAAACGGCGCAGACCTGCTCGAAAACGTGCGCCTTCCAGTCCCCAGGCAGCAAATCATCTGGAGCATCCCAAAGGTCTCTCATTGAATCTCTATTGACAAAAACATCTTCGTCTTGAAGGGCCGTGTTTGTAAGAGAGGATTTGAGGCTCGGGTACAACCAAGGCGGTTCGTAATCTTCTCCAGCAAGAAGTGCAAGCATTTCCTTGAAGACATAGACTTTGAGACGGCCTACAGAGAGAACGTAGGCTCGGGCGTGCCACTTCCTTTTCTCCATCGGCGGAATAGAGACAACATATTGCTGAGCGACAAACTCGCGCATCTGGGCTGACGGAATACGACCGCCTTCCTTGAAAAGGTACTGGGGCTTTGGACTTCTTTGGATCGCTTCCAAAATGGGCTTTAGCGACAAGGCGCCTGTGGCGGTAACTAGCACATCAAGAGAGTCTAGACCAGGGGTGGATAGTGTTGGCGAGAAGTCCGTGTCGCCCTTTTCTGAATATGGGGTCGTATCTGGGATAGGTTGTTGACTCTTGTATACCAGGATGCTCTCGTCCTCTTCCTCGACCTCGTACTCTGCAAGCTCTAGATGATTGGCAAGCTCGTCTACTGTGCTGAACAGTCTGATGCCAGCACCACAGTCGACCAACGCCGGCTTCATAATCCACCAGTCGCGTTCAGTTGGGGGCTTGCTCTCATTTGCCTCGAGTGAATACAGGAGCGAAAGGTCGTCAGCAGCAGTCAAAGACTCTTCGACATACTCGGCATAGTCTAAAGATAGACGGACTGTAGCGGGCACATGTTTCTTGAGGATGCTTTCTGGTCTCTTGGCCGTCCACAACTCCACAACCCTGGCAAGATAGTCTTTCCGAGCCAAAGCGTCGCTGTTCGGGTAGGTGTTGATCAGGCCCGTGGTCGCTGAGTTCAAGGCTGCAAAGTTCCGATTCAAGGCCCAACCATCACAAAATTGAAAAACTGTCTTGGCGTCTGTCGGGAAATGATCGAAGTCGTCGATGAACTTGGTTTCCGGCGCGTGCTTCCGGATGTAGGACTTGATGTGTTCCGAGAGCCAAGGACTGGCTGGTTGAACGTACGCGTACATTCTGCTTGAACCTGGAGGCGAGTAGCAGTAACCTTTTATGAGAGGCGCGAATCTCTTCTCAAGGTTATGTTTTTATCTCAGATGTCGTTTGATCGGGGACAGACGGTTATATCGTGGCCGCAGGCCTGTGATGGAGTTAGACGTCACGAGGAAACTCGGAATCTTTTGTGTGATATATAGAACCTTTTAAATTCAACAAGTCGTGGTTCCACAGGAGTTTAGATTTCTCTCACTATTGAATCATCTGGAGAATCGTAGCATTGTTCATCAAGTTGGAGTGGCCAAGAGGCATGCCAAGAGAGAACATGGATTTCCATTACCTAACCTCTACTCTCGCGATTTCCATTAGACATAACCGGTTTTATAAACGTAATCCAAGCCGAGCTCACTCCAAATAGAATCAGCACATTTTTGATCCAGCTCGATGACTTCAGTCGAGTTGCACACTTTCATCCTTGCGCCCCCCCCCCGCCCATGAGTGTAGTCACACAAACAGCATCTAATTCAACGTCACTCGGAAGAAACGTAATCCTACTCGGTTTCTTCCAATGAACACAGATGATTAGCTCGGTCTTGAAATGGATTTTTATGGAGTTGGTAATGCACAACGCACAATCCGCTGTCTCGTTATTAAGAGAAACTAGGGTCTGGAGAACCAAGTCGTGAGAGGCCATACGAGCACGCGATGTCATTTTGTTTCGCAACTCATGACAGCATGCTAAATCCTTGTTGATATTCATCAACATGCATTTGAAAGTTGCGGTGACTTCAAGTTCGTCCAGAAATAACACTGCGTGGAAAGGCACCTCAATTCGAATGCCAAGGATCATTAGGCACATGTTTCATCTTCAAATCCACTGACATCACATGGATACCAAAGAAGTCTGCCAGTATTTCAGATCAAGTGCAAAGAGTCCGTGGTCATCAGCATCTTACTAGTCCCTAGATATGATACCTTGAGCCCTGTATGATATTGAGGGTCGAGTCTAAAGATGTTTGCCGAGAATTCCACACATGCCTTCGATGCTGAAAGCTCCCCCCAAAGAGTAGCGACCTTGGCTACTTGGCCCCGAACAGGAGCTAGACAAAAGCTGACTACAGTCGTAACTACATCTAGAAAGAAGACAATGGCAATATTATGCGGCTTTTAAGGTAACATCGATTCTGAGCATTCAGCGGAGGTTTGAGCACAGGACCAAACGTGTGCTGCCAATCACCTTATAAGTATGATGTATTAAGGTATCTCTCATTTTTATGGCCATTTGATTCGATGTCTACATACAAAATGAGTCTAGCCTATCAGCGGACTCAACGAAAAGTTGGTTGGAAGTTTGCTGCAATATTTAGTTTACCACCTGATTGCCTGCCAAGCTAGGACGGTAGAAAATGGACAGCTCCGAGCTGCGCCGCTTGGCACACCACTGATGCACCGAGAAAGCTGGTCAGCACGCGGTCGAGGGTATTGGCGAGGGTTCGTGAGATTCCGTGCGAGAACTAGAGATGGAAAACAACACCGGCCTATAATTGCCCAACACCACTGGTCTCAAAAACCGATATTGTCACAGGAACCGATCAACGGCAATGGAGCAGATTTTTGGAGAGATTTACAATCGACTCGAGTCTAACAGCAATGTAAATTCTGCCTTGAACGGCCACCTCTCATACCTGCACCTTACATACCGGCATTTTACAGATGAAGTACCATGCCCTTCCTCACCAGACCAGACTCTCATGAAATCAGATTTAGCGCTACAGCGGCCGCCTTGGCAACGGGCGCAATGCGCCCTCGGCTCCTTCAGCCGGTCCGGTTTCGGTATTCCAGTCCAGTGGACAGTCGTCCCGTAGTTGAACGGGATGAAAGTTGAAACCGGAGAACCGCCTGGGGATTTGTATACGCTCCTCCGCAGGCGGGGTAGGTTGAAACTATCGGGGTTCGTTTCACCAATTTGATTTTCAAAGTTTGTGTCCGTTCGCCTAGAAGTTGTAAAGGAAGAACCAACTAGTGTCGAGAACGTGACCGACACCTCCGAAGACTGCCACCATGGAGAAGGGATGGTGGGATGAAGGCGTCGTGATTGAGAGGGTTGCAAGGTATCCGAGGCGACGGTACTATACATTAGACAATCGCACTGACAGCCAGTATTCAACATAGGCTTTGGTTCCTCTCTTGCGATTTCTTTTTAACGTACTCGTATTCGTTCGACAAGTGATAGGTGGGACGGGAGCCATGAGCTACATCCGTTACTTCCAATGTTCCCTGCGAGCCTCTGACATGCATTGCAATTAGATGACAAAAAGATGAAATTTGACAAGTCAGCAGTGCGAAGTCTGAAAACTATGACAGACGGTCTCAAGCAATTTCATATCAGTGCAGCATTAGGTCGAGCGACAATTGAGGATGAAATGAAGTCCAGATGGAGAGGTGCAAATGGAGGCAAAGCGAGTATGTCTGAGCAGGGAGACTGATGGGTCTATGAGGCCATCAAAGAGTTCCAATCAGAGACAGCCTGACGCCTGATTGGGTTGCGAGGCCAGAAATAGAAGCGACAACCAGGTTATCACCACCAGGCGTTGTCTCAGAAGCCGCGAGACTGCAAGAGACTCATACCGCAAGCGAGCTTACCCGGGAAATGGCCGCTGTGGACGAACGTTGCACGAGCTTTCTCCATTGCCCAAGTCATCTGAACCACTCCCTGAGATGGCACCGCAAATTGACAAATTGCTGTCAGACCCATTCAGCTTCG